GAACTCCAGCCCTACAGCTGTTGTGGAACTACAAATCCCATGAGGCGTTGCAAGATTCTCACAGCCACGACTCCCAGAGACAGATGCATGATGGGATTTGTAGTTTCACCACAGCTGGAGGGTTGGCGTTTGCCCACCCCTGCCTTAGACTGTAAGTTGCTTGAGGGCAGGGACTGATGTGAATGTACAGTATGAAAAGTGCTGTGTAATTTGTCAGTGCAATATAGATACAAATAAATTGTTCATATCAGTATGCATCAAGATATTGGTATATCCTCTTCATAAGTAACCAAGTTTATAAGTCCATTGAGCTGAAGCTGGTATTTTGATTAAAGGAATTTTTACCTGTGAATTTGTTCAAACCCACTTTGATAAATCAAGAGACAAGAATATCAGCCTTATTCAATGGAGAATGACAGTTTCATGTCTAGTAACCCGCAGCCAGACTCCATAGCGTACTTGTCTAACTTCCAAAGAACTAAAGGTGCCCATACACTGCTCGATTCTCGTACGAGAATCAGGCGAAATCCCGCGATCGTACGAGAATCGAGCAGTGTGAACGAAGACGTGCAACCGTTTCTACTGTACGGTCGCACGTCTTTTGTCGAACCAGCATGTTCGAAAACCCGCCGAGAATCGTACGATTGTTGGCGGGTTTCTAGCCTGCTCGTCCGATAGCTGCGGAACGGGCCGGTGTGCGGACGCGCACACTGCCTGTTCTGCATTGCGGTCATCGGAAGCCCGTCCCTCAGCGGGGCGGGCTTTCGATGATCGCAAGTACGATCTGCCCATCCAAGGTGGGCAGATCGTACAAACTTTCAATAAGCATACGACCATCGCAAGACAAAAGTCTTGCGATGGTCGTAAGGTGTATGGGCACCTTAGTTCTGACTGGCTGCACTTAACCACTTGAAGACCGGGGTGTTAAACCCACTTCCTGTCCAGGCTATTTTCAGTATTCGGCGGTACATTGACATTTAAGACATGCAACGCTGCACTGAAAATAATTTTATACCATTTAGATAGAGCTTTCTTTTGGTGGCATTTAATCACTACTATAGGTTTTTTACATCTTATTTTACTAAATAAATGAAAAAAGTACCGAAAAAAACCCCAAGAAAACAAAAAACCACAACTTGGTTTTCCCTTTATTATGTTATAAAACATTTATTATTACCCATTTTTTTTGTAAAATATAAAAGATGGGGCCATTTCGGTTAAATAGACAACAAACACGTCAAGCCTTAAAATTGCGCACACCCGGGAAAATCGCAAAAAAAACCACCCAAAATTGGCCATAGGCGATGCTTTAAAAGTTTTTATCGCTCATCAATTTAGTTTTAAGTGATTGAAGGCCCTAGAATTATTCCTCACACTCTGACGTTCGCAATATGTGCGGCATAATAGGCGCAACCATCATCTTCGCACGTAGACGCATGTCTGCACGTGTATGGAACTTTCACTTTTTTGTGTGACTAATTTTTATTACTTCAGCTTAACTTTTTTGTTGTTATCACATAGGGGTTAAGAAGCCCCTATGTGATATTAAATTACAGGGACAGGTCCTCTTTATGGAGACATCAGGGGTCTCTAAGACCCCTAATGTCACCTAGGGACCCCCAAAGAAGCTGATGAAGCACAGATCTACAGACGCCGGACTGCTTGTATGTTAACAGCCATCGCTGGCTGTTGACAGTTTCCCGCTTGTGCACGCCAGGCAGCATGCCCAAGTGGGCACGGGCACAAAAGACGTTTTTTAGATGCCCACTCAAATCTACAAAGCTCCCATGCAGCCGTTTTCCTATGTGAAAAACACTCATCCCCATAATTCAAGCCGGCCTGTGACACTGAAGCTGTCACAGGTCGGCTCTATTGATCGGGAAGTCAGAAAACACCTATCACGGACTTCCTGATCCTCTCCCTGGAATAGGGGACGGGTGGGCACAGCTGGTTCTGCCTCTACAGAGGCAGAGCCAGCTGTCAATCAGCCAGCGGGTTGGATCTCTATAGTATTTGTCTCTATAGTCTCTACAGCACCGGCCCGGCTCTGTGCTCTCAGCATATAGTGGGCAATAGCCCGCCATATAGTGAGTTTTGGGTCACCGGAGAACATTAGTATATGTCCTCCTGTGACCCTGGAGAGAACTATGGGCAAAAAAAAAAAAAAGTTGGCCCATAGATCTCTTAAGAACTAGTAGACTTTATTGAATGACTGAATCCCCATCTTTGACTACAGCTGCCCTGCCTATTTTGGGTAAGGAGCTTAAGCACTGCAGTGTCTGACCTCACAACAGAGATTAGCACCTAAAATACGTAACATACAATGGCTGAAAATGTCTGCAGTTACCACATCAGAATCAAAACTATACAGTTTCTGAAAAGATTTACCATCTTCAGCCGGAGGTGCATCATGATCATCCAGAGCATCCTCCAAGTCATTGATATCTGAAAGGACAACAGTTTATAAATGAACTAAAATAGGTGAGCGAGCATTTTCCGTGAATGCATTAGTAGAGTGACCAATTGGAAAATGGAGGAGCCTAAGGGCTCCCTCTTTTGCTGAAAAAAAGTGACCACTCTCCAAAATAAGTTCAGCTGCAAAAATCTGTTATACTGCACAATAATAAACCCTAATGTAAAGGGACCGATGTAGAACCAAGTTATAATTGCCACAATCTGCTTGAGTGCTCCATGCCTGGACGTCAAATCCATTAAGGATTGGAAATGGTTCTGCAATGTGCTTGCAAATGGGCACTTTAAAACCTAAACTGGCTTTATATTCCAGAAAATATCCAACTGGCTTCAAAATATCTAATATTTTAAGTAATGTTATATGTAATGATTTTCTTGAATACATAACTTCAAAAAATTTAAAGATTGGTGTCATTTAAAACTTACCTTCATAAGGCAAATCTGACTCTGGCTCATCATTCACAAAATCTTCTAGGTCTAGATCCCTTAGATCTGTAATAAAATTGTAGAGCATGTGCAATATTCTTATTGTCATTCAAAGCAAGTGCCATTTACATTAGACTAATGTCCTTGAATAGGATCACAGTCTTCTCTATCAACTGCAATAAGCATACATTTCTTACAGTAATTCTCTAATTGAGATGTATAAGATGCAACTGTGCAGTTCATGCGATAAGACAGAACCCCCATAAATATATTATAGATTGCTGCTATGAATCAGAAAACCACTTTTTCTAGTTCATCTTTATTTTTCTACATATTCTTCAAATCTGCACTGAACCTAGGAGGACCCAAAAAGTATTACTCATCCTTTACCTTCTAGCCTGCTATTGGCTAGGAAACCTGCCCACTGCTTGCTGTCAATCAGTGGCAGAGCAGACCTGACTGGGGAAAAAAGCCCTCAGAGTTCCCCAACAAGCTCCGCCCATTGTTAAAGTCACTGGAAATTGTTGGCTACAGCAGATGCTGAGCAACTAGCTTCCCAACAGGTCTGTTCTACTACTGATTGCCATCAGGCAGTGGCATGGTAATATTTGGTTAGATGTCAGCCCCATCCCTGGCACTTTTGTTTCCATTCAGCTGATGGCCGGGGAATCTCTCTGCCAGCAGCTGAATTCCACTCACTTAGACTGGTGCTCCAAGGCATATGTACATATGTAGCTACCAATACATGTGCAGTACAGAGCACCACAACACATAAGGGGGGGGGGGGGATTTATCATGGCAATTGCGAGTATTTGAACTTGCACAGAATATATTTGATGCTCTTTGCACCAGATTTATGATGCTAGTGTAATGTTGTTCATAAGTGAGGTTTAATAGACTCCAGGAAAGAAGACTCATAACTTCAGGCAAAAAGCTTACTTGTCACTTCTTAAGAAGTTGTCATGGGGACTTCTGAAGTTGTGATTGTTTTGTTAGGTGATGCTTCAGTTTCAGACAGCCCCAGAACAAATGCAGATGAAGATGAAAACAAGTGCAAAAAACATGCCGTTGGAAAAGAAGTGCAAGCTCTGGTCAAAACAGGGGCACATGTTAAAAGACAGATTTGTTCATTAAAAAAAATGATCTAAGAGGCTAAAACTGTCGCAATTGCTTTGATAAATTCCCCCCCATAGTGTTCTTTGGGGTGCACTGCATTAGTGAAAGTGCTGGGTTTTTTTGCTGCCGTGTTAAGGCACACTGCGATCTCATTCAGCGTTATGCGGACACAAATGTAAAAGGGAAAAGGGGCTAAATCTTTTGTATTTAAAAGCAGCTTATTTGTGTCACTTAGTGCAGAAGTTTATCACGTATTACCATGTTCTCTGGTAGGCCAATTAATATAATGCAAAATCAACAATTCTGCAAATGGTCTTAACTAACAGCAACTGTATTTACTCTTCACCAGTCAGGACAATGATAGATGGATGCAAAGTGATTGCTATGAGTTAGTTGGTGCTTAGCAGATAGCTCTAAACCTTTTTATACAATCCTGTACGTAGTTCAACCCTTGAGCAAGTTAGACTTGGCACAATTATTGCTCCTGATCAATACATCTCTTCTCATATAAACTGCATCATGCAGATAAATCTCTGCACTGCAGCTGTGTCTCCTCTCATTCCATAGCAGTTAAAACTATTTATGTAATAAACAGTCAACTTTGCTTGAATGAAGACTGATTTAGCCCCCTCCACGTGCAGTCATTCAGCAGTACAATACATCCAACCATTGATCTAAATTGTAAATCAATCCCTACAGCATACTTCATGCCAATTAAAGTGCTTAAGTTCCAGCGTTTGCCAGGCAGACAAGAGCACATGTAGCGCTTGGAATAAAAGCCGGCAAGATATAGAATGGCTCTAGTATGGCAGCCTGAATGCAGAGTCAACTAAACCAGCTCTGAAAAATTTGAAACTAAGGGGGTTATGCACTATTGAGCCGAGGGATACAGCGGTGGCTTTGGCTGATCCTTCGTCCGTCGGAGCCCTTCGGTTCAGTTGAACAGAAGCGATGCTGTATGGGCTATTCACAATAATAGCCTGTACAGCAGCCGAGCCAAAAGGCATATGCTTCAGCTTGACTGAGCCAAAGGCCAGCCGCTCGCCCCGCAAATGACAGCTGGGTGGAGTCAGCCGTGATCTTACAGCTGGCGCCGCCCAGTTGTAATGACGGATCAGCGTTCATAAATGACCTGGGGATGCAGATCTGTCATTAAACAATAACAACTGGGCAGAGGCAGCCGTGATGTCACAGCCAGCTCCGCCCAGTTATTCATTGGCCAGGACCAGCAAAAAGACTAGCAGGTGCCATCCAATAGGAAACAATTGAGCAGAGCCAGCTTGTTTCTTTTTTTAAATATCTATTTATTTTTTAATTTTACCATTTGTTTAAATTTTTTAAACATTTTTATTTCCCCACTCTTTTCACTGATTTTCTATTCTGCTCGGTACCACAGAGGTACCGAGCAGAATAATCGAGGCGACATTCGGCTATTCACTCACTGCCGTCCGGCCCCTATGAGAATAGGGGCGAAAGGCATCGAGCGAGCTGCCGGAGCTTTGGCGCAGCCGATCCAGATGTTGGATCGGCTGAATCGAAGTCCATCTGCACGTCAGCTCAGCCGAACATGCAGAGCATGTTCGGCTGACCGAAGGCAGCCAATGAACGACTGAAATCAGCCATACTGAGCCGAAGTAAATAGCTGAACGTCGGTCGGCTCTGTTCACTTCAGCTTGGTTATTAGCACGGTTGCCTTTGGCAGCTTTGAGAATAACCCTATAAGTGAGAAGATTTGCCAAATTACAAATGATTACCACAAAGACTCTCTCGGATATAATGTACAGTGCGTATGGTTTTATGTCTGAAGATATATGTGAAGCATGTTAAAAAAGTGTTGTTAATAGGATCGCAACACTGCCATTGATCATGGGCCCAGCAGCGCGTGTAAAGCATCCAACTCAGTGGGGCTAATATATAAATAAAGGTAGATATGAAAACTTGTGCTTTTACTGAACAGGTGTCCCATGAACTGCAGACTTCATACATTCACCCTGAATTCATGAGCCTTCACTGTTGAGCTTCCATACTTGGAGGATTTGAAGCATTGTACATCCGATACATGTTTCTGGACGCAATCCCACTGTGGACTCTTTCCCATCTAAGCTCCACTTTTTAATGTAATATCTAATTTAGTGGAAATACCATGACACCACACAAGTAAAGATTCCAATTTGAATGGCCTGTTAAGGCATGTAAAAAGTCCTGTACGCATATGCACCTGAATGTTGCGCTCACTGTGCATAACGACAGGCCAGATCTACAATGTATTATGCGTTATTGTGTAAAAAAAATACCCCAACAGTCCCAACTAGTTAATGTATTGACAATTTTTGTGTTCATGAAATTATGTTGTGGTCAAGATCAATAGATGCTACTCCTCAAATGGCTTTCCCAGTGGCTTACAGTATTCATGAATTACACACTTTGACCTGCATGACAGATGCATCCTTCGTTGGCATTACGTGTTAAGGTGCCATAGACTGTTGCTTGCTCTGGCCAATTACGGTTTGATAAAAAAAAAAAAAAATGTAGTGTCTATGGGAACTCTGCAGATACCTCCTAGATGACTGATCTTCAAGTAACAACTGATGACTACATTACAATTTCCTGACTAAACAGTACAGGACGGCCTGTTTATTGGTCAGATCCTTCAGGTACCATCACCTGAGAATCTATAGGGTAAGCATATGTTCTGCTTTTCCGTGCAGAAAATAGAAGGGCATTTTATGTAAACAGTGGTTGCAATCAGTTACATGGTAGATAACACCGTATTGGTATCTTTAAGGGCTGCAAGGTTTGTAAACATTTATGTGGCTCCAAAGCCCAAGCCCGCTCAAGACTGACTGACACACCCTTCACCAGGCCCAATCAGTTGCAGCAGGATCATTCTCTGCCCATTTGTAACGTGTAGCTGCAGCGAGGGGAGTGCCCCTCCCGCAACTGATTGGACTGGGAGGAGGTGCGTCAGTCACAGTGTTCCACAGGCTTTGGTTAACTGGGTTTGCACCAAGCCCCTGCTCACCATTTCAGACAAATGTACTGTGCATTTAGTCTTTAAGGACCCTTACAGACGAGCTTGCCAGGAGAGGATCGGTCGCAAGATGGGAGGAAAAAAAAAAAACTGTACGGATGTCACAGCGGTGACATCCCTGTGTCCGTACAGTTTATTCCTCCATCTTGCGATGGAGGGGAAAAAATGAAACTGCTGGAGCCCATGCGTCTATGTGGAATCAGAAGTAACATTGTGTATGTTTACATCAGATTTCCCCCGGTGCGGCACAACCCAGTTCGTCAAAAATGATCTCTGATCGGTCATGTGAAAGGGGCCTTAATGTCATTGATGTTTATTTTGTTTTACAGAAAACATTTAAAATATATGTGTAAAAAATCCAAAGATAAAAGTACATTAAGATGTTATATTGACAATTGTTTAGAAAAACCAAAGCTGACATTCGCATCTGTGTAGAAATAGGGTGACCTTTATTATGTCCTAGAGAAGGAATATTTTCCAGTGTTTGTGTACACACGGTGCAAAATGTTCCACAACATTAAGACAACCTAATTGTTCACATTCTATTGACACTATTGTTATACTTGGGTATTGTTCATTGTCCCAGCTACTTCGAACTCTGACTGGTTGTACTGAAGTGAATTTGGGTCATGCAGAAAGTACACAAGGGCAACATAACATGGTAAAATCAAGCTCAGTGTACCTAATTTCCCTAAATGTTATTCCAAGCACCCCAAGAACCCCCACAAGTGTTATGAGTGGGTCTATTTTGTGGAGATATCGCTCACTTACTGTCTCGGTGACAATGGGACAGAAGCGGGGGGAAAAAAAAACAACAACATTTTGCTAGAATGACTGTTGCTTCAAAGTAAAGGTTTATATTGGTATAA